ATGGAATGAACACAAATCATGTTATCTGAATTAGTTTCCTCAATTAGATACTGTGTATTATCAGAAATAGAAACAGCAGTGAGTGTCTTGTTTGTTGGCTGTTTAGGCTCTCTGTTTTCAATTGAAATGTAAATAAATGTACGTATGTATTATTGCTGAAGAAGTCTTGGAGAAAACCCCATCTAAACAGTGAGTACTGAGTAGGGGAAGATGGCCGTAACACTTCTTATCCCCTACTCTATGAAGATTTTGTGATAGAGAAAAATACACTGTGAGGCAACTCCATCTACAACATGGATTTCTTTATATTTTTAAATTAGCAGCTAACTTTCTTAGAGCATCTAGGAAAATTATAGAATGATGACTGGAGAGATATGAAACTCACTGGCTAAAGAAATATGACTTTAGTAATGAAATACAAAGGTGTAATTCATACATACAGGATCTCATTCAGGGAAATTGATTGCCAGCAGCAAGATTAGTCATGTGATGAACTTGATAGATGGTGCTGTCTACCAGTTGATTTGCTTACTTAACACATCCAGTCAAAGTGCAAGTAGACAAATCTTTAGAAAAAATATGTTCACAATCTGTAAAGAGAGATAGGTAAGGGAAAGGTAAAATGATGAAAGCTGAGATTCTATCAAACACAAAGCGGAGAAGCCAGTAATGTAGGGATTTTATACTGTTGCATCATCGAGTCACATGACTACTGTGACGCAACGTTTCTAGAACTATCATGTACTTTGGCGAATGCTCTAGTCTTTGCTAGATGGGGTAGGCGGGTATATATAAGAGGGGACAACGTGACGCGGGAATGTAATGTGTGTGTGTAGATAGTGAGTAATTGATCTGCGATCAGAAGTATTATTGACGTTCGTTGTTATAGCGTTTGTTTAGCGCGATTATTGAAGTTGAGTGTATCGGTAAAGTTGTATTCGGAAAGAATAAACCAGTTTTATTAAGTAAAGAACTTGTGTCGCTAAAGTTTCGTCGGAACGAAGTTACGGAAAGTTAATTAACAAACGGAGGCGTAACAATACTATATGTAAAGTCGAGACAACTTTGTCTGCTATGTGATCATTTGCTGATCAACTTCCATTCCTATCTTGTTTGGATCCTTTTTTCAAGTTCAGTAGCCAATAGCTGTTTTGTTTAGTAGTAAATAGGGTGGAAAATTTAAGAAACATCAAATAAAACCAGCAACAAAAATTTCATGAACTATTTAACTTTGTATTGGGGGGGGGGGGTGCTACAACTCACTGTACTAAATTGAGATACTAATCAAGAGCGAAGAGTGATCACGTGATAAATGATGTAACTAATACAATGGTTTCATTTCTGGAGCAATGGCGTGGGGGTGGTAAACAAATAACTCCCTGGGGCAGCACTATACCCTAATGCAACCCTACACACACACACACACAAATTTTTACTAAAAACTGGCATTGGAAATTATTTTTTCTATTGTACTAACACAATACCAGTTAGCCACTCACATACCTTACTATTGTACTAACACAATACCAGATAGCCACTCACATACCTTACTATTGTACTAACACAATACCAGATAGCCACTTACATACCTTACTACTGTACTAACACAATACCAGATAGCCACTCACATACCTTACTATTGTACTAACACAATACCAGATAGCCACTCACATACCTTACTATTGTACTAACACAATACCATATAGCCACTCACATACCTTATTTTTTCTGCACAGTTCATGCACAGCTTTTGACTTCAAGAAATAGACAAACAAAAAATTTCCAGGCTCATGGTAATGAAGATGAATTGCCAATCCTGCTAGACCCTGAGGTTGTCCTTTAGAATCCAGAAGGCTCTAAATCATAAAAATTCAGTGTTCTGTAATAGCTATCTAAAGGATTTTTAAAGTAATAATTCATGCATCTTCTTATAAAACAAGACAAATAACAAGGAAAGTAATGTGAAAGTTACGTTTATAAAACATGGTACACAAATTGGAACTGGATAACATTAGAAAAGTGTTAAGAAATGTTACTTTCTTTTCTAAAGTAATTTATTCTCTTAATAATTTAAGAATTAAGTAGAAAAAAACACTAGACTTTTTCTTAAAATGGTAACAATTTTGTAAATATGTCACAACCATTTCTCCAAGTTAAATAAAATAAATTCAGAAAGAAGCTTTTCTGATCCTAAACATAAAAGTAATCAAAGTTTTAAACAATAGTTTCGTAATGTTATAAACCTGAAATTGAAGTTGTTCATCTCATTTATGAGTTCTAATTGCAAACTAATGTTTTAGGGTTATTGCAAATTATTAAAAATACTATTACAATAAACTAAAATCCAATTTATCCTGATTGAGCCTGAATCCAAAAATTCTTGAATTACTCTATAGATTTCAGACCAGTGTTCTACCTTTTGAATTATGAGAACTGTCCTTCAGGTAGACAACTGATCACTGCACCACGATATTTTCAGAACAATGATCACTACACTACATTAAGAGTAAACAAAATGTTAGGAATACTGGAAGAATAATATCTGATGATTATGAGATGACTGTTTTTAAACAATACTTTTTCTTCAGTTTTACTAATGAAGATTTAAGCAATATTCCTCATCCCAAACAGATGATAGATGGAAACAAGATTCAACAAGATAACCTCCTCAATTTTGAGCTTCTTAAGAAAAAAATAACTTCATTGCATAATATGGCTCTTGGTCCAGATATATTTACTAAAATGTTTTGAAAGGAGATAAGAGTTGGATAACATAACATATAACATAAAGTTTTGGGACAACATGAGACTTACCTAATGGTCCATCTTGGCCATCCCATCCTCTAAACTAAAATAAAACTATTAATAAATAAATTTTAAAAAAATCTTAAAACCAGCTTTTATCATTCATTTAGTTATCAAGTTTTCACTTAAATTTACACAACCCATTCCAAAGGCCAACAACCCTCTGAGAAAAATAAAACTAGCACAGGTAAAGATGGCTCCTACTTTGCTAAAAACTTATATTTGTTTCCTCTGGTCCTACTATTCTCACTGTTAAGTATGAAAAAAGATGATACATAAACACTATCAGTTCCCTTAACAATCTTAAATACCTCAATCGGATCCCCCTCTAACTCTCCTCATATGACAACCCCTCCATCCCAGGCACCATTCTAGTGAGTTGCCAAGACCTTAATATCATCTGCAAATTTAAGTAGTTTATTGACCATTCTTTCATCTATGTCATTGATGTAAATCATAAAGAGCAAAGGCCATAAGGCTTAGCCTTGAGGTTCCCCATTTGTAACATTAATTAAGTTTGACTGAACTCCATTTTAACAACCTTTGCTTTCTTCCATCCAGCCACTCTTCTATCCAATTAGCTAACTTATCCCCCACACCTAAAGATAATTTTTTTAGAAGCCTTTTATGTGGCACTTTGTTAAATGTTTTCTTAAAATCCAAATACACCAAATCTACATGCTTGCCATTCATCTACATAAAATGTAACCTTTACAAACAATGTCAAAATATTTTTAAGGCAAGATTTTTCTTTAGTGAAATCATGTTGACTATCCAATAAAATTTTAACCTTTGTTAAATGACTTTGCAAAGCATCTTTTATCAGACTTTCCAAAACTTTTCCCATGACTGATGCAAGACTAATGGGTCTATAATTACTGGGACAATTTTTATCACCTCCCTTGAAAAGGTACCTGTCCACTATTTAAGGACTGACATAAATAGTAAAAGTGGCTCACATATCCAATCTTTAACTTCCTTCAAAACACTTGGGGAAATATTATCTGGCCCAAGAGCCTTATCGTTCTTTAAACTTCCCAATTTTTTCTTAACCAGCTCAGAATCAATATAGTCATTTTGTTTGATCTTTTTTTCCTTTTATCAACTGTTCAAGATGTGGAATATTGCTTATATCTTCACTGGTATAAACTGAAGATATGAGCCTTCTTTTATCATTCCTCAAGGGCCCTATTCCCATCCTAACATTTTGTTTCCCCTTAATGTAGTGTTACGATAGTAGGGGGGGTCATGTGAAGAGTATTCTAGAAGATTCGCTAGTGCGTTAGGACAGCGGGATCACGTAACAAGTATTCTAGAAGATTCGCTAGTGTGTTGTAACAGCATTGCGTCAACTGACGCTGGTAGCACATGTTGAGAGTCTTAGAAGTTTCTAGAACAGGCACTATTATCGTATATAAGTGCGCTAGACAGTGAGAGAGAGGGACGGAGTCGAAACAATAGTGGAGACAAAGACAGAGACGTAGCGGAGACGAAGAGAGAGGAAGACAGCAGTTACGGTCGGCGGAAACCGAGGATAGCAGACACAGACATCGGAACTATAGTTTGCGGGGACGGACAATTAAGTCTAAGCGCGATAGAAAGTGAGTGAATTGTAGTGTGTGTAGCTGTGAAAATTAAGTACATTACAAAGTTGTGTTGAGGAAGAACAAACGAGTTTTATAAAGAAAGGACTTGTAGCTTGTAAGAATTAACAAGCAAACATACAGAGACGTAACAAATTGGTGTCAGAAGTGGAACAAAAAAAAATGGAAAAGAGAGGCGGAAA